TATATTAGAATAATTAATAATTGATAAACTTAATGAGGAAAAATAAATGTTATGTTGATGTTTGTTCTCCAATTGGATTCGACCTAAATTGTTTACGATTTCAATTCCAATGTTCCAATGTGTACGCGTTGACGTTCATCGTTTGTACGAAATTCAATAAAATATTCATTATTTCTTGATAGAAGACATTTATCATTGGCTTTTTTTTTCTCTTTAGAAAGTTTCAGATCATCAAAGGAATCAATCAAAGTTAGATACGAAAAATGACATCAGGCTATTCTGTACTCCAATTAAAAGAAGATGATGTACTGAAGATCCTTGCAGCTAAACTACATATTGGCTCCAAAGATGTTAATTATCAAATGGATACGTATGTTTGGAAAAAGAAACCAAGAAATGAAGGTTAATATTGAAACTAAATTTTTTTAAATAGAATCCATTTTATTTATATAATAGATGCATCAATCATCAATATTCGTAAATTCTGGGAAAAACTTTTACTTGCTGCTCGAGCAATTGTTGCTGTTGAAAATCCGGCTGATGTTTGTGCCATATCATGTCAACCACAAGGTAAAAATAATCGTAGAAAAAAAAATTCATCTTATTATTGTTTTTTAAACATTAGGCCAACGTGCCGTATTGAAATTTGCAAAACACACGGGTGCTACAGCTATTGGTAAGAAATATAAATATATATAAATAAATAAATAAATTTCATTTTTTGTTGATTGAAAAAGCTGGCCGTTTTACACCCGGTTCATTTACAAATCAAATTCAAGCTGCATTCAAAGAACCTCGTCTAATTATTATTACTAATCCAATTGTTGATCATCAAGCTGTCAGTGAAGCTTCATTTGTGAATATTCCTGTTATTGCTTTTTGTGATGCATCAACATCTCTTCGTTATATTGATATGGCTATTCCATGCAATAATAGGGTAAATAAATAAATAAGAGTTGATTGATTTTTTTTTATTTCGAATAAAATTTCAATAGGCTGTTAAATCAATTGGTCTTATGTGGTGGTTTTTAACACGTGAAGTACTTCGATTACGTGGTGAAATTAATCGACAAGCACCATGGGATGTTATGGTTGATTTATTTTTCTATCGTGATCCCGAAGAAGTAGAATTTTGAAATTAAAGATTTATTGTACAAAAAAAACCTATTTTTCATATTTCTTAAGACTGAAAAAGAAGATCAAGCTGGTCTTACTAGTGAAGATCGTGATAAAAAACGATTGGGATCAGATTTTCCTTATTATGATGATGGTCCATCAATGATGCCTGCTGCAGAAACTTTTGCAGGTAATCGAGATGGTTGGGGTGCATCAGCAACTGAGGGTTGGACTGCTGCTGGAACAGGTGGCGCTGATACTAACGAATGGAATGCATCAAATGCAGCCAACACTGGTGTTTCAAGCAACTGGTGATTTATAATAATAGAAAACAAAAAGTTGACAAAATTGTTATTTTTCTCTAAGCATCATCAAGCTTAATTATATACAAGAACATTGTTACTACAACGAACAGCAACATTAATTACAGTAGTAGCAGTACAATGTTATATCGTTGGGCTTATTATATTTAATAAAAACAAAAAAAATATATATATATACATAATATATTTAAATGCTTTTCTGTTTTTCTTTTTATTTATGAAAGCTAA